ATGGAATTCTCCAGGCCAGAATACTGGAGTGGGTAGCCATTCCTTTCTCCAGGGGATCTTCCCAACGCAGGGATCAAATGCAGGGCTCCTGCATTGCAGGCAGATTCTTTACTAGCTGAGCCAGAAGGGAAGCCCAAGAATACTGCAGTGGGTAGCCTATCCCTTCTCCAGCAGATCTTCCCAACCCAGGAATTGAACTAGGGTCTCCTGCATTGCAGGCAGGTTCTTTACCAGCTGAGCTGCCAGGGAAGCCCAAGTACTTAAGAGTGGTCATCAACAATTCTCATACACTTTTGAAATGAATTTCACTGAAGCATAATTTACAGGCAACAAAATCCATCAGTTTTAAGTGTTGTAGTTTGATGAATTCTGACAAATGTATACACTTGTGCATATTTGCCATTACAATCAAAATATAGAATATTTCCATCATCCCCTGACACTCTTAAAATGTAAAAGGCAGCAAAGGAAACTGAGAAAGAGTGGTTAGAAGGGTAAAAAGGAGATTATGGGGTCCTAGAAACTAAGAGGAGAAAGTATTTCAAGGATGAAGGAATAACTAACTGCATGGAATGCTGCCGAAACGCTGCGTAAGTGAGGTTCACAAGAGAGTTTAACAATATGGAATCAATGGCAACCTTGACATAAGCAGCTCTGGTGGAACGGTGTGGGTGCAGGAGAAACAGAGATGGGTTCCAGAGGGGATGGGAGGGAGAAAGGGATCTGGAAACAGCAAGAAGAGAAACTCTTTAAGAAGTCTTGCTGTGGAGTTCCTCTGGTGGCTCAGTAGTAAGGAATCTACCTGCCAATGCAGGATACACCAGTTTGATCCCTGATTCCATATGATAAACAGGACAAGTAAGCTGGTGAGTCACAACTAACGAGCCCACGCTGCAACTACTGAAGTCCATGCACTCTAGAGCACGTGCTCTGCAACAGGAGAAGCCATCACAATGAAAAGGCCTTGTATGGTAACTGGGGAGGAGCCCCCACTTGCCGCCACTAGAGAAAGCCTGCATGCAGGCCAGCGCGGCCAAAAGACAAATAAATCTTAAAAAGAAAAGAAGTCTTGCTATAAATGGAAGGAAAAAATGGGATAGGGTTGGTGACTGGAGGGGTCAATGTCTATGTGCTAAAGACACAGACATGTGTCTTCTTCTAACAGAAAGGAAAAACATGACGATGCAAGAAAGAAGGGGGAGGAGCTCTGATCTACATCCTTAAGTTGGCAAGAGGGGAGAGGACCAAACATAGTGGGATTGGCCTTAGACAGGAGGAGGGACTCTTCATCAAAGTCTCTCTCCAGGCTATGTGGCACAAGGGAAAGAGAAACCAGTCACCATGTAAGAGGGAATAAGAGTCTTCGGAGGACAGGCAGGTTTCAAGTAGGGCAAGAAAGTTGGAGAACAATCAGAGAAGCTGAGGATCTGAGAGATTTTGCTGATAAATGACCATATGTCTTAGAAGACAAGGTGGAATAATTTAATAACAAAATTAGTAACAATAATATTCTGGCTTGTCTCTCATTAAATGCACACCTACTATTTCCACCTAGTGCAACCCAAGAAATGGTGTTCTATTTCCAGGCTGGAGGAAAGACCAGGTGAACATATTGAGAGATAATTTACTTCCAGTGCAGTTGCTAACTTTTGAACTTAAACCTCTACTTCTCCCCAACCTTTGTACACACACACACACACACACACACACACGTAAAGTAACCGGAAGTATTATCTTTCTTAATCCGTACCTTGTAAGGGTCCTCAGGATCTACCCAGGCCACGTGAAACATGTGCCGAATTTCCTCTGCCAGTCCGATTCTTGCTCCACTGTTGGCTGCTACATAGATGCGTGGGATGCCCTCTGCCCTGGCAAGTTCAGAAGCTCTGAGAAACAGCCAATCCTCCTGGGGTCCAAAGGACCCAATTCGATAAGTGATGTCATTGCCAATAACAATGATATCTCGGCCGTCTGGATATTCTGGACTTTTAAGGGTCATTTTCCAAGCTACCATGCCAATCTGCAAAGGCGTAAACAGACAAACAAATCAATACAAGCTTCTTACATGCAGAATTTTGTTCCAAGTTCCTTGAAGATATCAGATTGAATGCAGACACAACCTTTGTGTAAAGATATGCAATGCTAAAGAGCCAAGCTCCCTGTGGGAAACTAGAGCAAATATTCTAGCATACTTCTCTAAGATTATGTTGAGAACAGCTGGTTTACTATGTATGTATTTCACAGCTGTCTCAATTTTTTCTTTGGGTTTGCTCAAAGAAGATGGAAAAACCAAAGTCTAAATACACTCAGCATATGTATGGAAGAATACTGTGGCCCTGGGAATTAAGCCAGGATTCCCTAACTTATTACCTTATTTTGTGAGATTCTTTCCAAGAAACCTTTAACATGTAGGAAAGCAGGAAGAGGATTACCTCTCATGACTATAAAACTTTTACAAGCCTGGGCCCTTTTACTGTCCTCTAATATTTGATAGGGCTACCCCTGCGGCTCAGCGGTAAAGAACCCGCCTGCAATGCAGGAGATGTGGGTTTGATCCCTAGGTCAGGAAGATCCCCTGGAAAAGGAAATGGCAATCCACTCTAGTATTCTTGCCTGAGAAATCCCATGGACAGAGGAGCCTGGAGGGCTATAGTCTCTAGGGTTGCAAAACAAATCGGACATGACTTAATGACTAAATAACAAGTATTTGATAGGAATAATGGCAGCATTCTTTACTAGTTTGCTTTAGGTATATTCTATTTCTGCAGGAACTGCTGTATCTCAACATTGCCTCCTCTGAGCATCTCTTGTTGCTTTCTCCCAACACCAGAGCACCAAAGGATGCAAGTATGCAAGTAACCGACCTCTTGCTGGACTAATATAGGTAAATCTCTGCTCACTGTTCAGTAGCATCTGTCCAGTCACACAAATAAATGAAACTGACCTAATAGGCAGGGATGACATGTCTCTTCCCAAACCCTCACAGCCCTCTCCTCTTTTAATCCCCTTCCATATGAGAACTAGTCAATCCTTCTACTTGTTTATTCGCTAGTTCCATTTCTTTTCTATTCACTCATACCTCAGTTATGGCTGCAGTTTTTCACATCTGCCTGTCTGCTTCCCTATGCCAGGATAAGTAATGTTTTCCATTCTTTTTTCTCCCCACTGATTCTTTCTGTCTGCCCTGCTTCCCACCCCCAGCACTTGCCCCCAAACACAAAGCCTACCAGTGAGCATTCCTGGTCCTGCCTAATGGAGCCCAGCCACATTCGCAGTCTTGGGCCCTCATCCCCGGGCTGCCGTGTGTCACCTCATTGGGGAGCCGGCCATCAAGAAGGGCCATTAACAGATGTAAATAGCGGCATCCCTGGAAAGCCACATGCATCACCCAGACTCAACCGGGCCAGTGATCATAAGCTCTTGAGTACACATTCTTCAATCCAATTGCACATCTGCTGTAATCAGGCTGGTTGAAGCTTTCCACACAGCTATTTGTGATTCTCAGCATTAAGAAATATATATACGAAACATCCACAGATAATATAAGCTATTTAATATATACCATTGGCCAAATACAAATCAAAATGGATAAAAATCCAATCACCTTCGGAAGTAAGGCAGGATTACACCATCTGCTCATTAAAGATAGAGAAGAGGAAGAAGAAACAGATCATCCAAAAAAATAGCACAAACTCCAAATATCAGGTTAATTTTGGTTGTTTTTTTTTTAAGAAACTGATCAATATAATGCCTGTGTGGAGAAAAATATTTTAACTGCCTTCTCATGTGGCCCTCTAAAACCTAACACTTCTTTTGCTTTTCAGAAGGAAAAGCTATTACCTGTGAACACATTTGTAATTGGGGAGGTTGGGTTTTATACCAAATTTTATATTAACCTCTGCTACCTAGGCCAGAGCCACTTAGATACAAGCCTGGAAGAATCTACTTGAGCATTTGCATCCTAATGCAAACACTGTGTTCCGAGTGGCACTGGGCAAGCAAATAACACTCTTATCTTTGGCTATTACCTGGGGACTCTGTGTCACTTAGGCAGTCAGTTCAGCAATTGGCCAGGTCATTATGCTGACAATATTGACTTCTAATTAGGTGTCAATACAGCAGCAGCAAGAACAGGCTACTCTTTATCAATGTCTTTCCAAAGTGTGTTCCTCATCGACTGGCCCCTCCCCGCTTAAACAGCACCAGTACAGGATAGAGAGTGCTGTCTGAGTCTCGGCACAGTCAGATTCCTTTTTGATTGAGTATTGAATAAGCACAATGGATAAGTATATAAGGAAGCATCTGTTGCTCAATTTTTTAAATTTAAATCTAATTTAAATATATAAATTTAAATATATTTACATATATATTTATACACATTTAAATTTAACTCATATTAAAAATTAGATTTTACTGCTAACCAAATGATGGGATACATAATGTTGAAGGTAGGGCTGGGGAATCAAACAAATTTGGATCCACATCTAAGTCCTGCCATTTATTAACTGTGTGACCCTGGGAAATTCACTTAACTTCATTAAGATTCAAAGTCCCCATGTATAAAATTAATATTACCTATGAGTTTGATGAACAACTATTAGAAGCAGTAATCTATAATATTAATTTTACCATATGAAGTTTTCCTTTGTTTTTCCTCTCAACCTATCCAAATTTTACCCATTCCATAAAAGTTCACTCAAATTCCATTTCCTCAGAAAGTTTCCCCTAGTCTAAAGTGATTCCTCTCTTCCCAGATCTCCTACTAAGAACTTCATGTAGAGAATTCATTTGATAATTATTCATATATGGATTAGGACTGCTTTTAGTCTGTCAGCTTGAATTGTCATATCATCTGCTTCATCACATAGCAGGACTCCTACACATTCCTGCACATAATATGGAAGTAATAAATATTTGTTAGTTCCACAGTCATTTCATTTTTAAAATGATAGCTGGAAAATACTCAACACCAAGAGCCTAGAACATCATCCACAATTTGTCTCTAGGGATCATAGAGAAACAGTACTAAACTATGATTAAAATATTCTATTTTTTAAAAATAATAAGAATAATTGCTACCATCATTTGAACACTTATGCTGTATGACACTATAGAAAGTGAAAGTGAAGTTGCTCGGTCATGTGCGACTCTTTGCGACCCCATGGACTGCAGTCTACCAGGCTCCTCCATCCATGGGATTCTCCAGGCAAGAGTACTGGAGTGGGTTGCCATTTCCTTCTCCAGAGGATCTTCCCAACCCAGGGATCAAACCTGGGTCTCCCACATTGTAGGCAGATGCTTTACTATCTAAGCCACCAGGGAAGTCAAATGATATTATAAATGCTAACAAACACTGATAATAGTTAAGAGGTTAAACCGTAAAGTCTGTCTTGGTTCAGCTGTATAGCCTTGGACAAGTTGCAGAGCTTCGGACAAGTCACATAACCTTGTGTAGCCTCAATTTTTCTAATTATAAAGTAGGGATACCAGTATCCTTCTGGAGGGATTGTTGAGAGGAACATCATATTAAATTAGTACCAAGCTGGGCATATAAAGTCTTCAAATAGTAGCTATTATCATTATTAACTTAAAAAACCATTATGATTGCCATAAGAAAACCAAGGCACGGAGGAATGAAGTAACTTGTCCTTACACCTAGAATGAATTACTTACTCTTCAAGGTATGAGTCACAATTACCTTTACTAGAGAAATTAAGGAACTATGTTCCAGACTGGTGCCACTGCACTTAGCTGAAACAATACGGAAAGATAAACATCAATTGTGACACAAACATAAACATCACTGACAACTAAATTCAATGTATAGATTGGATCCTGGAACAGAAAAAGGACATTAGTAAAAAAAAAACAAAAAAAACCTGGTGAAACCCAAAACAAAGTCAATATCTTATTTAATAGTATTGTACCAACATTAATTTCTTAGTTTTTAAAATTATACCATGGTTATATAAGAGGTTAATGTTAGGGGAAGCTGGGTGAAGATTAAAAATGGGAACTCTATGATTTTTATAACAGTTCTGTAAGTCTAACATTAAGATAAAATGGAAAAAACAAATGTCATGATAAAAACTTTTCTTGAGGGAATATATTGACTAGTGGGGTCATTGCTAGTGTTCTGAACAGCCTTATAAAATTATGAATAGTATTTTAAAATACCCATGATGTAATGCTAAATTTTAAGAAGACAGCAAGGAGATCAAACCAGTCCATCCTAAAGGAAATCAACCCTGAATAGTCACTGGAAGGACTGAAGCTGAAGCTCTAATACTTTGGCCACCTGATGCGAAGAGTCGACTCACTGGAAAAGACCCTGATGCTGGGGAAGACTGAGGGCAGCAGGAGAAGGGGGCGGCCGGGGACGAGATGGTTGGATGGCATCACCGACTCGATGGATTTAAGTTTGGGCAAACTCTGGGAGACAGTAAACGACAGGGAAGCCTGGCGTGCTGCAGTCCATGGGACCTCAAAGAATCAGACATGACTGAGTGACTTAACAACAACAAAGGATAACCAAATTGCATGTATACTTTAGTAACCGAGAGGAAAAGCAGGGTAGTGGTTAAGAACACAGATTCAGAAACCAGATGCAAGGAATCTGAATCTAATGGAATCTCACTCTGACAGAATAGAAGTTCAGGCAGTTTTCTAGCCACATAACCTTAGGTAAGATATTAATCTCTATATACCTGAATTTCCTCATCAGTAAAATTCAAGGAGATCAAACCAGTCCATCCTAAAGGAAATCAACCCTGAATAGTCACTGGAAGGACTGAAGCTGAAGCTGAAGCTCTAATACTTTGGCCACCTGATGCGAAGAGTCGACTCACTGGAAAAGACCCTGATGCCGGGGAAGACTGAGGGCAGCAGGAGAAGGGGGCGACCGGGGACGAGATGGTTGGATGGCATCACCGACTCGATGGATTTAAGTTTGGGCAAACTCTGGGAGACAGTAAACGACAGGGAAGCCTGGAGTGCTGCAGTCCATGGGACCTCAAAGAA